TGAATTATTGCCAAGCTCTTGTTGTTCCTTGTATGACTTGATAGTTTTCTTTTCTGTATATAAACTACTGATTTGCAGAAGTAAAATTGCAGCAGATTCAAACCACTTTTGAGTGTGTTTGTTGTCTGTCTGTCAGTCGCCGAATCCTTGCCTTCCTGACTACCCAAGCCCTGATTCTCCTACGGTCGTGGTACTCCCGGTGGGCCAGTCCGTGGCAGAAGAGGAGGAAGGAGGTCAGGAGGAGGGAGGGGGATCAGATGAGGAGTCAAGGAGAAGATGGGGGTGAGGGAAGACCAGGAGAGTGTAGGAGGAGAATGGAGGGAGCAGGGGAGGCAGGTGTTGGAGCCGTGCCACATGTCCCCAGGCCTGCAGAGCTCCACGGATTTCAGCTGCCTTTGCCTTCTCTTTACTGTCAGACTAATGCATTTATTTCTTTTTTATTTATTTTTTGTTTAAAATTAATTAATTAATTTATTTTTCTATTATCATCTTGATAAAGTATGTATTCTATCTTAATAGTGAGATGTTTCATTGAGGCTTGCTCAGTAATTGAGTAAAACCGAAATTTATTATAAGCCACAGTCATCCTAGGGACCTCCATATATTTATAGCCTCCATGGTTCTATGAGTTGTGGTCTGATTGTTCTTTATTTTATATCTAGATTCTACTTATGAGTGAGTACATACCATGACTGTCTTTCTGAGTTTGGGTTACCTCACTCAGGATGATTTTTTCTAGTTCCATCCATTTGCCTGCAAATTTCATGCTTTCATTGTTTTTCTCTGCTGAGTAGTCCTCCCTTGTGTATGTACCACATTTTTTTCATCCATTCTTCCGTTGACGGGCATCTAGGTTGTTTCCAGGTTCTGGGTGTTGGGGTTAAAGGCGTCCCTGTTCCAAGCTCTTGATTAAGAACTTGTTTTCACTAGCTCTTCAGTGGGTAATAGCTCAGTTTGTAGTCCTGATTGCAACTGTGTTTCAGCCGCCACCTGCTGGGCCTACCTGCCTCCGCACTGGGCTTGTCTGCCTCTGCCGGGCCTGCCTGCTTCTGCCGGGTCTGCCTGCTTCTGCTGGGTCTGTCTGCCCCTGCCAGCCACCACCGCTGGCCTACCTGGCTCTGGTTGTCGCTGCTGCTGTTCCTGTCTACCTCTGCAGGTCCCCGCCGGGCCTGTATGTCTCTGCCAGCCACCACTGTGCCTGTCTACCTCTGTGGGCCGCCACCGGACCTGTATGCATCTATTTCTTTGGAAAGCATTCAACCATATATTATGTCAAAATTATTTCCACAGAAAACAGGCTAGTCTGTTTGTGGAGGAGACCAGACTCAATGGCTGAGCTGTAACCTTCTTTTCCTTATTAGGAGAGGGTGTGATCCCTCTTCTTAGCCATGTGATCTGTTGTGGAAGTGAGGTCCCTTACCCCAAGACATGTCTTCTCTCCTGTAAGCACTGCAGGGATGTCACCACCCCCAGAAGAATTCCGTAACTGTCCTCTCTCCCTCTGGTTCCTCCAGCTGCACCTGGGATAGTCAAGGTCTCAATACTTCCTCCCCGTGGAGGGTCAGAAGGAACAGGTTCCATGCCCTGTCCACGAGAATAGATCATGGCACCCACATCTTCATACACATGAAGACCCAGACTGGAGAGAAGATTCATATGCACCCCAGAAATGTTTGCTGATTCTAACCCAGTGCCCCAAGAACTACTCCTCACCCCTCCAAAACAAAACTTCAGGTCATTACCAGTAGCACATAGTCATGCAAAGGCACCTTTCCTGTCCCCAGAGAGAAAGAATCCTGGGCATTACCTGCAGAGCTGAAGCCCGCTGCCAGAGTCTGTAACAGCTGAGTTCTGATGTTCGGGTGGCTGCCTGCCTGGTGTGTTGTTCTCCCCAAGCACACTGATGCCTATTTATCCCATCAGGGACTCCTCCCTCTTCTTCGGAAATGCTGGCCCAGACAAGTTGTGCTCTGTGCTCAGTTTGGAAATGTACACACAGGATGATTTCTAGTAATGTGCATTAGAAGCTTCAGGAGGCAGAACCATATCCTGATGGGAAATCCCCTAACTTTGTTCATATATATATATGCTAACAATGTTATTTTATTCAATATTTAAAGTCAGTTGTTGAGACCCAATTGCTGGAAAAATATTCTTTTCAAAATATCACTGTGTAGCTGAAGTTTTTCAGTGTCCCAGCCTAACGGCTGTTGGGACAAACCTCTCCTACTTGTGTCCCCCAAGTAAACATACAGAGAATTACATTACTTATAAACTGTATGGCCATGGCAGGCTTCTTGCTAACTGTTCTTATATCTTAAATTAACCCATTTCTATTAATCTATAAGTTGCCACATGGCTCATAGCTTACCAGTATCTTAATATCTGCTTCTCATCATGGTGACTTTGTTCCTAACAACAGGCCCACTGGATTGCCATTGTGGCTTTCTGTTTCTCTAAATGTAAATGGTCAGTGTGAAATGGGGAGAAGTCAGAGTTAAAAACACTGGACATAAATCTTACTTGTCATCAGGTAGGGCTGCAGATAATAGTTTTCATAGACTATGTTAC